TGTGATATCGCCGTAAATTCTGTAGATATAATTAATGTACCCTTACTTATACGTTACATATTAACTAAACTCTCGGGAAAACCAGCCGAATGTTTAAAATATAAAGATACCAGTAATTCTTGAAAGTTCAAGACGTTCATGGCACAAAGAACGAAATGCTATGGTGCGAAAATTCAAACCGTTGTGGTGTTTGAACAGTCTTGTTTTGACATAAATCAATATTTTTTTTTTACCCATTGCAAAAAAGTGTTCTGTTTTTTTTTTTTTATTTAATATGTAAATATACCATATTATGGTCACCCTAGGCTAACATTGGACGTAATCGAACATTTCTAACATTTTCACTTTTCAGTAGTCTCTGTTTTTCTGGACGGTCAGCTATATGCGTTCTGTTAACTATTCATTTTTTATACAAAATGCTTAAAGTTAAGATGTTTTTATTTTCGTAATTAAAAAATTATGTTTCAGAATTTGGTCCGCAAGTGTTCTCAACAGACAGTAGAATACTTTATTGTAATATTTGCGACATCAAAGTTAGAAATGTAAAAAGCTTTATTATAACACAAAATTTGACTATAGGAAAACACCAGAAAATGGTTGTCTATAGAAAAGTAAACGTAAATATACAGAAAGCACAACAGCTTTTTTTAACTGATACCAAAAAATCGTGTTTCGATACAGATTTTTGTTCCGCGATGTTATTGGTCAATATATCATTAAATACATTAAATAATGAATCATTTAAATAATTTTAAGTAAAATATATTGGAAAAATAATTTCAGTCGTAACTATATTACGTAAAGGCTACGTAGATAAAATTTTCGTTGAAACTTGAAATAAAATTAGAAATGCTGTTATTGGCAAAACAATTTGAGTGTTCATCGATGAGACCATTGACTCTCTAGGCCGTTTTGTCACCAACGTCATTATTGATGGTATACCGTCATTTGATTGCGATAATTTGGTCGTGCGTCAATTGGATGTACGTCATTTGGTCGCACGACAATTGGTCGCGTACGAAATTTCGTCGTGTGTAATTTCCACGCGTGTTACATTTGGTCGTGCGTCAATTTTTCGCTTATCAATATTACCCGTAATTATTTGGCAAAGTACCTATATATAAAATGTATATGTCATTTATGACTTATACATTTATAGCCTTATCTATTAGATAAGTTTTCGGTTTGTCTATATATGTTTTCGGCAGACTTGGGTAGTATTCCGAATTCATAATTAGGGTTGGCACAATGAATTTTCATCTAATCGACGTGCGACCAAATTACCGCGACCAAATGACGTACATCCCATTATTGATACTCTCGAAACGAATAATCCAGGACAAATATTTTTATTAAACTCCAAAGTAGTGCCAAAAACTAATTATTACTCGACTGTTGCAAAGTTATTCGACAAGTCTATGCATATTTTGTGGCTCGAAGGAGTGCGACACTATTACGTTTTGTTAAATTTAATTGACGCATTTAATTTTATATGGTAAAATGTGGAAATGCGATTATATTATTGAATATTCGCTTAATTTTATCTTATAATTTTATAAATTACTTAACTTAATAAAAATTAAATAAAAATAAACTACCTAATGACTTATATTATGGGCTATGACCCTTCAAAAAAAAAAAATTATTTCACGATTGTTATAATTAAAGACCGAATTTTGCATAAAATACATGTTATTTTCAACATTATATATGTGCAGTCAATGAGTGTGTTCACAAATCTTTACTTGATTGATTAAATATCAAAATATCATATTGAATATTTTAGCATGTTCTGACGTTAGTGCATGTTCTGCATATTTTTTGCATATTTAAGAAAAAAATCGTAAAAATATACACCTAACAAACCAAAAAGGTGTTGAGTAAATAAAATTGATAATATGTATTGTTACTAAACTTCCATAGTTTGGTTTTACAAGTTTGATAGTGGAAACGTGGCTTTACCTATTTTATCTAATCTTGTTGATAAAATACTCAGAACAATATATAGGTGTATTATTATAACCACTGCTATATTTATACAATTGTTGGTAAGAATTACGTTGTAGCCAAATTAAACCATCAGCGCTGAGCATTGGCGTACCTGTGAAGGGGACAACAGGGGAATTTGCCCCTCCTCCTCTGAAAAGTTTTTTGATGCCATAATGCAAATTAATTGTTCAGCTTAAATAATGTAAATTATAAATATTTTTAATTTTCACTGATTATAATCGTGTTTGATATCAAAAGGTTTTGATATCACTTATCAATATAATATAAAATATCAATATTCGACCGAATTGAAATTAGGAGTGATTGTCACATATAGTCACTACTTTATAATTTGGTTATCATTGATATCAAGTAATCAACATGAGTTTTAAGTATTTAGTAATAATAAAGTTTCAGATAATTATAACCATAAAAAATTGTGCAATTAATTTATGCTCTTCCCCTCAAAAAAAATATCTCACAGGTACGTCACTGGCGCTGAGCGTTCCTACATGGGTACACAAATATTGCTTTTTTTTAAACACGTTTGGAGAAATTTGTATTGATATTGTTCAAGTATTATTATAATTGCATGCGTTTGTATGTTATCTTCTCTTCATTTTGATACATTTTTTCTTAATAATAATAGTATAATATATACTATATACTATTACAGTAAATAACATAATTAAGTACAATGTGTTGACGGGGTCCAGAATTTTGACTTTCACGGTCTAGGTTCTGACCTCGGTCCGCCAGTTGCTGACCCCTGATATATAATTACTCAATCTCAGTGCATAGTTGCGTTTTTATAGTTATTTATTATTATGTACCATTACTATGTATAGCCTTTAATAATTGTTATTAATCTAATTTCTATCTGCGTGGGTTGAATAAATATAAAATTTAAAAAAAAAAATAAATAATTTGTTCTCTGAAAAAAATGAGAGGGAGTTGAGATCAACTGGAACTCATGTGCTAATTAATCAGCTGATCATGATCGACTTATTGGACACCCCAACCTTGAACGACCTCCATGGAACACAGTTTAAGACACACTGCACTAAAGATAGGCAATGATTATGGAGCAAGTCATTGTTTATTTAAATATACCTTATCAATTACTGAAACAAAGAAAATACAAGCTCTATCAATTCCTAATATATTGCCTTTTGTTATATTATAATGTTTTATCATTAATCTCATGGCCTCCTTAAACTCAAGATGAAAACTTCGAAGAGTGCAATAATATTTGTAGTTTTTTACTACTTCTAAGCTATAAGAGTAACTAAGAAATTGTAGGATCAAGATAAGCTATTTTGAGTACCTAATACTGTAGTGGTTGATTCATTTTCATTAGTTTTCACCGATATATTCTAGTTTATAACACTATGGAACTCTTACAATAGATTCTCATCAATGTCAGTAACTCTGTTAATTACCCATTAGTTACATAAAAATCTACCATAAAGTAACAATGTAAGGAAGATAACTAGTTTGAATTATAAATTGAATAAATAAGACACAAGTATTTTGTTTTTTAAATTAAGTATTTTATCATAAAAGAAAAAAATATTCATATACATAGGCTAGTAGAGAAAATAATATACTAAATCTACAATGAAGATGGCATTAGCATACAAATTATCCATAGTAAATAATTTATCATACAAAAATGATGAATTATTTGTACACAATACGTTACATTATTATTTAGTAAAAACGTAATATTATAGATACAATGCCTATAATAACTATATAGTTAACATCATAATGGATTAAATCTTTATAATTCTAAAAAAACCCTCTGAATAAAATTTTTTTGAACCAAATAAAATGTTGAAGCTAAAATAAAATAAATAAAAAGAACAATCTATAAAGCTAACATTTACATATAATTATTATTCTTTTTTTTTTTTACATAAATCGAAAAAGTTTGAGCTAAAAACAACAATGCTTAATTTTCAGCAGCAATCAAAAATTGTTAAGATTAATTTGATAAATAATAATAATAATATATATATAAATATGCACCAAAACATTGTCTTGACAAGCCATTTTTATCTACTTCTATATTGTATGATTTATAAAAGTACAAACGGTTTAAAACTTAAAAAAAAAAGAAAAAAAAAGGACTTTATTAAAAGAAAAAAATAAAAATAATAATAAAATAAAAAAATAATACACTTACTATAAATTTTATGGAAGTAACTATACACTTATAGTAAAATTATTAAAAATATAAGACATTATAAATTAATATACAGCATGTATCGCCTTTGGAAGATGTTATGTGAGTGGGAATGTGTACGCGATATTTGTTACACAAATGATGAAGCATTAGTGCCTCATACAAAAAATATTAGATTTTAATTAAAACTCACAACAATTTATTTCTTTTTTAATATTAATACTAAATCTTTAATTTGGGATTAAAATAAAAATAACAGAATTTCTTCTTAACGGTTTATAAATATTTTAAAATTAAAATAAATACATTAAAAGGCTAAAAAGAAAAGTTGATATATATATGTATAAAAATGTACTTATAGAAAAGAAAATTTGTTCAAATGACTTTTCTGTATATATAAACACAGAAGGTAAGTAAAAGAAAATAATTATTCAAAAACTAAAATTGGTCCAGGAATGTGTTGTAAAAAAGTTGAGCGTTTCATTTCCTTATCAAAAGAGCATATGTGTTAAAAAAAAGATTGTAAGTCAATCATAAAATAACGACTTATCTATTTCATATCCATCTAATATTATTATTATTTTTTAAGTATAAAATCTAATACAATAATAAATAATAAAAAAAATATTTATATTTATAAACAGCAGATTAAAAACAATAGTACAAAAAAGTATTTTGTTGCAGAAAGTTGTTTTTTTCTTCAGTTTACAAAAATTAAGTATAAAAATAATTTGAAAGGAGAAATGCATAAATTTATGATAATTATAATGGGAATGTGTATTTTTTTCTTCTTTAAATTATAAAAAAAAAAAGGATTATAAAATAAAAATTTTCTTTTCACGTAAAGTAGTAGATAAATAACATTAATTTAGTTTTCGATAACTGACGTCAACGATAAATTTAGTGAATAAAGAAAATAATAAAAGTAGACCACTAATTAATCGGATCCACTATCACCATTTGTAACTGCTATTGCATCAGAACCTCCATTTACTTCATATGAATTCTGGGAAAAAATAAATTATTATTTAAATTATTAGAAATGCATGGTCAAAACTATAATATTAAAGAAATACAATTATAACGAATTATTCTGAGTTTCAACAAATACTATTAAAAACAGTTTAATAAATAATTAAATAAGAAAGTCATATAAATAGTGAAAATCCATAATACACAAATAATTTAATCAAGTCAAACATTATTGGATTATCAATTCATGGGAATATAAATTAAATCAAAATACGTTGAAAATAACTTACATTTGAAACTTCATTGGTCTCTAAACTAATATCAGCTGCATTAGCAATCTTGATTGCTTCAATTTTTTCAGATATATAGTTGACCTAAATTATTTCATATTTAAATTAAATTATTTTCAATAATTACATCAGCAAATATAATTACATCAGGAGAGGAAGTTTCTTTTTGTATAGGCTCAGGTTTGTCCTCTTCCACATGATTACCATTAACCAAAGGTACTTCAGTTTCTTTTTCAATGTCAGATGTGTTTAGACCTTCAGGAGGTTCAGCTAAACCTTCTCCACCACCAACTGTCTCATCCTAAAATGTTCATCAATTTAGAATAAGGTAAATTTTGTATTTAATACATTTAAATATCAGAACTATTCATTTTACCTCTTGTTCAGCTGGAGTGACCTCAGGTTCAGCTTGTATAACTTCAGGTTTGACTTGGGTAACTTCAGGTTCAGCCTGTGTAACTTCAGGTTCTATAGGTTGAACTGGAGCAGGAGTTTCAACAATGGTTGGTGTTGGTACAACAGCAGGACTTTCTACTGGAGGAGGACTACTAGGTAATGGAGGTGGAATTTCAGTTACATTTGTGGTCTGAAATTAAAAATATGTGAATTAAATTTATTTTAATATTGAACAGTCACTATTATTACATTTAATTCAGCAACAGATTCTTTAACTTCAACCACTGCGGAAGGTGATTCAGTAATTTTTGAAACTTCAACAGTAGCTTCAGATTCTGTTTTGGCTTCTTCTTTCACTGTTTCTTCTTCGGCCACCTGGAAATATTAATTGATGATAATTTTACAGCTGTCCATTGTTATTATTTTTTTTTATATGGGCAAGATCAAAGTGGTTAATAATAATTCAATGTTCATTGGAGAATAAATGTTACTTCCATCCATACAATGATCGAATTATGGTCAATTAATAATGACAATAAACTAGAAGTCTTATACCAAAGAGAGGTCAACAACTAAAAAGATTCTTCTATTAATCACTTTGCCCCTACGGGAACCAACCAATCAATTAGACCACTATAAATAATAAAGATATTTAAAACATCTATTATATACTCGTTAAGGGCTGTTAAATACATTTGTAGAAAGCAAAAATGTACATACAGCTGAACAAAGAAATAAATTGAGTAACAAATATCAATGAAACATACATCTCTAAAAATAGCCTCAAAAATATTTTTTTTTAATGGATTTAGAAGTATTATAAATTCAAAATAAATATAATTATATTAAAGTTTAGTATTTAATTTTAAATTTCAAATCATTGTAAGGATAAATAAGACTTTAAATGTCTTTGTTATATTTACATAATTATTTTTAGAATAAAATATAAGGTTAAATTTTAAAGATTTTTTTAAGTAATAGTAATTTTTAGGAAAAGTTATGTTTTTATTATACCTCTGATAACACTTTTAAATCACTAAACGACATGGCAACGGCGTAGATGAAAATCACTCAGTCATAAAAATCAACGATATACGTACAACACGACAAAAGCTTGAGCCGATCAGATACTATTTGCTATAACGTTAATTAACATCATATTTATAGGTTTATATGTTCTAAAGGAACGCAAATTAGGAGGGAGGGGAACATGACGATGAAACATATTGTTTACAATTTGTTTTTCTGATTTAATATCGTTTTCCGATACGCTTCCGCGATTTTCGGATACGCTTACAGTTTCTATACGCAACATACTATTAAGGTTGCATAAATTGTAACGAGGACGACACTCGAAAATTATCCTTGAATAAAGATGATCAACCGTGATGAACTACGACGAAATAAAATTTAAATAAAGAATCCTATAACTAGCACGTAGAAAGATCAAATATAAAAAATAAATAAAAATATTTTGATTTAATTACAGTGGATATATAAATAAGACTATATACAAGATTATTGTTTTAATAGCAATTTAATACCAATAATGTCATTAAAGTGTCGACAAAAAGTTGGTGAGTACCAAACAAAAATAGTTTTCGAGCTAATTATGAAACAGTGTAATATGGGTTAAAAATTAATAATACATACCTTTAATAATATAATATACGCCTAAATCATAATAGTTATTAATTCATCTAAACCAACATGTAATTATAAAACGATAATTAAAATTTCAAATTTCTAAACAAATCGTATATACCATACATAAATGTGCATTAATTTTACTTAAAAATATAAACATAACACATCAATTTTCATAATTCTGTAGGTGCAATAGACAGAGTAGAAAATCATGGTTTCTATTCCATTCCTCGAACAATATTAAGATACAAAATTTAATGAATGTTTAAGATTGTGTCAAATTTTTAAAAGTATTCAAATACATAGTCTCAACCAATAGTAACAGCAGTATGCAAAAAAATCGTAGTAATAGATTTATGACGCGATGTCTAGCTTAGAACTTAGAAACAAATATAATATTTATTTGTATAAAATGTTATTTGTACTATTAACTTATTACTTGTTTTCGTTTAAGTATTTATAAATTATCTATGTCCTGAAATTAATTGATTACAAAGATATCTTAGATAGTGAAAAAAATTATTTAAAAAAAGACATTTATGAAGTATTTTAACAATTTTTTTCTCAGGATTATATTGATATAAACTTTTATTGTTAAATTATATACTCATAGGTTAAAGATTATGTACGTTTTGTACCTTCGCATGATTTAAAAATGGTTAGAAATCCATGATACGTACAATTTCTGGTTATATTTAATTTTTATTTAGCAAGTACACTGATACCCAACAAAACATTTATTTGAATTTTTGATAAATTGAACACCATTGAGAAGAATCAAAAATAGCACACTCGACTTTACGAGACAAAGACTACAGAATTGATGAATAGGTTGGGTGCATTAAGTATACACATAGGGGAAAATAATCTCATACGGCAACATCAATTTATCAACGGATAACCTCATTATTAAATACATTTCGTTATTTAAAAAAAAAAAGTTCAAATGTACAATATGACTATTTGTTTTTTGTTCACTGAGTAAAATGTAACTTTTCTCATGATATGAAGAACATTACCCTAGGATAGCTTATGTGAATTCAACTTCCTATTGTTTTTTTATTCTTATTTTTTTATCCTATTATTTAGTATACTTTACAAAATTAAGAACACATTTATCTCACGTATCTTAAAGAATTTTACATTAATTAAAATTAATATAATATTAAAACTAGAGTTCAAAAACATAATTGAAGAAAGAGCGGAGACAGCAAGTCCCTATCATTCCTCAGTTTGACGCGATTTGAATAGTGGTAGCAGTGATAGTCCATGTATATAAGTTAGTAAGTGTAAAAAATATTGCCACAACTGTTGGTAGCTGTTAGGTCTTTATCGAAAAACCACATGGTTCAATGCACCCCGATACATAAACCGGTTGAAGACACGACAAAGCATCACAATGCCACAATATTGTGTACATCGGTCTATCAGTTAAAGGGGAAAATGAATAATGCGCCTTCCGCTTTTGTTCTTTAAGTTTCTGAAGGACGCAATTTTTCGACTTTACTGTTAGCTTTATTGTTTTCATCAAACCCGAAAGGTTGACCCCAATACTTAAAGAATACGGATGTTGTTTCATTTTAACTGGTTTTTTCTATAAAACTGCTAATTTATGGAACACGTTTCGAATAACATTGATTTACTTCTAATATAAATATTTTAAATAAAACAAAATGTAAAAACAAACATATCCAATTAATAAAATATTCTTTTTTATCATACCAACGCCATAGTAAAATATATAAAATAGAAATTTTCAATTATTTTAATTTGTCTTAGAAAATAATTTTTGTAAATACAAGAACATTAAATAAATAAATATTAATATAAAATAAATAGTCCCACAACATTTTTTATTTTTATACTTTTCGGAAAAACTTATAGATTTATATAAATTTATTAAAATTAAAACTAAAAAAAAAAAAACTATTGATTTGAAGTTTATTTAAGTTAAGTTAATTAAATATGCATGCGTTCGATAAAATAAAAAGATTCACCCACATAGGGTATAGAGAAAAATAAAAACAATAAATATTCGTTATAATAAAAATGTTAACTATAAGAACTTATAACATATTATGCTGTAATTAAATCTTTGAGTACTTAACTAAAATAATAAATTAAATCAGATTTGTCAAGTTTATAATAAATATTTAGAATATTTAATAACATATTTAGAGATAAATATTAACCATCATTTGAGAATTTTTAGATGATATGCATTTTATGAATTTTAATCAAAAAACATCCATGAACTAAACCTCAATTAAACTATATAAACGTAGAATAGTTAAATTATTAAGTAAATTAAGTAATGACATTTCTTAAGTAATTATCATTTCTGTTTTATACCTATGTATTAATAAATCATTTCTGATTTATTAATTTATATATAATTAATATATATCATTTTGTAATAAAGAATATGATTTAAAGAAATATTTAATTGCATTACATTATTTTGCTTAGTACTATAAATAACGTATGCATTTTATTTCTCAATAATTACACTATAAATATTATATAATCTAAATTATCTTTTTATTCGTATATACATACACGCGCACCACACATAGATAACGGAAAATTCCAAAGATTGTTAAGTTACCGAAGAACGATAAAAATAATTACTATATTGTTTCACGAAATTAAACTAAAGCTATATTTAAATATCTATATTGTTCAGTGACAAATTATAAAACAAAACACTTATGTGCTATTCCATAGCAGCTATAGTGTTAAATACTAAAGTTAAATTATTGATTTAAGTTTCATTAATTTATATTTAATATTCATAGTTTAAAATATATTAGATATAATAAATCAAAGGTAATCATACAATGTTTTCGATTTCATAAACAATTGGCATGAGCTAAGATTCATACAAATTAAGAACCATATAAAATATAGTATTATAAATATAAATAGTAGAAAATCCATAGAAATACACATAACAACTATAATTGCAATCACTGAATTTCAAATATATGATAGAATAATAGTAAGGATACTAAAAATAAGATATAGATTATAAAGAAAATTTATATCGGCTTTAGTGACCCATTTAATTCTTGTCTCCCACGAAAAATCCGTTTTCAGATATTTTCAACAAAAATCTTAATATTGTTATTTTAAATTGTTTATATCTTAAATAAAATATATTCAACAGACTACTTTTGGAATTATTTTTATTTTTTGAATAAGGTTAAAAAAAACACAGTTGATACTACTCAAGAAGTCTTCATTTTGTTCAAGCAAGTGGTGTCGTTTGGTAAAGTATTCAATCGCCTCTTTCTCACTTCTCATTCTCGTAACACGTATAAAAACTCGTGTAATTTAAATTTAATTGATACGGTCAGCCCGAGGGTGGATGATATAATATGAAAACAAAACCGGAAAAATTTGGTTACATATAACTGTGGATACATTCAATTTTTGTACAGCCGGTTTATATTATATATATATATATAAAAAAGCTACAGCATGAACCACTGCCGTGTTACCATGGGTACCGGGGCGTCGCGACGGGCCTGGCGATCGATCGTGCGCGTCTCGTTTTCTAAACCCTCCCAGACTATGTATGTATAGATATTCTCTACACAGCGTTTTTTATTTTTGGCTAAAGTACTTGCTATCGGTAAATATTTTATTCTCATGGAGTTTTTTACTTTTTAAATGTGAAGACATTTTTATTTTTCAATCATAAAAACTATTTATTACTCAATTGATTCCAATTTCTATTTTATTTATACTATGTTTTTTATGTTATGAGATAAGATAAATTAACACTAGTGGGTTGCTAAGCGTTTAAGTATTTTAAAGCATTGGTAGAAAATGAACCCTCTTCACTTTGGTTCGGAAAATATTTAACAAAATTTAAAGAAAACTATACATTAAAAAATAAAAATATTCTTAAGTAATATTAATAATATGTACATTTAATCTAAACTAAAAACAATAATATATAATAATAATTTTTAATCTAAAATTTATTTTTCGGTATTTTTTTTTATATAATTCATATACATTGTATATTACAATATTACCATAATATATTAAATCTGATTAAATAATCTATACATACAATTCAAATATCTCTAACTTTCTCACTAATCGTTACAACTCAAAAGCAACAAAACGTTTGAACTTGAAATTTGACATAGTGGTTTCTCTTACTCGTACCTACAAAATGAAAGGATTTTTCGAAAATCACATTTTTTATGGCCAAAACAGTTTAAGGTTGGATGCGTAATTATTTCACAATTTGGTTACTTAAGAAATATTTTATTTTGTTTAGTATATTGATTTTAATGATTGCCAATTGATATATATATATATATATTAATATACTTAGTATAAATCAATAAAATAAATATTATTAGAATTATATTATATATTATTATATTATACACATTTTTTCATCCTAAAATTTTTATGTTTAGGATTAGCAAATTGCTCAAATCGAAAACAAGAAAATATCTACAGGACTCGTCTGGATAATTCAACTAGTTATATATTGTACACTAAGACTATTGATAAAATAAGTAAAATATCATTTGAATGTTTGATTACTTTAAAATAATAATAAATAATAACTTTAAAAATAACTAATTTTTTTCTTTTTCGACAATTTAAATAAAATAAATGAGTTCCATAAAATTAAATTTTTTTATTATATATATATTGTAAATAATTTTATTTTTTAAAATAACCTATATTTACATTTAAAATCTACGCATACTAGGTTTAAATTTATGATAAAGAAAATTTGAGTCAGCTAAATCTTCCCCCGTGACGTCTAAACTTCTTATGAAAACACCCAAAGGACAGATATAATCAAGAGTTCATTTACAAATTTAGTAAAAGGGTCTTTTTATGAAGCCACAATTTAAGTTAAGAGGGAGCCATTACTTTCAACATCCACTCCACACTAGGAGTCTTTTTTGTTTAATTCTTACAATAGAAAAATATTAAATTACTTATTATTAGCACATTTGTTGAATACATGTTAAATCCCTTTTTTAACCATATAATTTATCAACAATTTTTCAATCAGAATCACTAACTGATAGATTTCAAACAACCGAAATTATTTGGAATTCATATCACAAGGTGTGGTTTACCGATAAAGAGTATTTCAAAAAGTAAACACGCAAAAATGCAATTATTTATTAATCATAGTTTCTTATAGACAAAAGTCGTGTTTACGTATTGTTAGAAGAAAAATCTTAAAAATTATATTCACGTATGCTCTTTAACAAAATACTTCAATATCATCAAAGAGGTGCGTTTTGACTATTATTGTTTACGCTAACAATTTTATGACGGCTATTGTCTGTTTTTAATAAGGAAAAATATGATTAATCCTGATCGCACGTGGTACATATTATAAATCCCCTGGAAGTAACCATTTTTTTGTCTTCGCCTTCTCCGTCGCCGATAACAACAATCAAAAAATAATAACACTGAAAATTCGTGACATCTAACACGAGCGCGATCTAGTGCGGTCCCTCCCCCCCCTATATTAAAACATGAACGTAATAATATAAGAGGAACCAATATGTAGGCTTATTACACATCGGGTGTTCAAACGAGTCAACGTCCTTTACCATGTTAGGTTCAAGGTTTCACGATTGCTTTTGTGACCACACTTCTGTTTGCTAAGAATCATAAAAAAATTCGACATGTATTCAGAGCATTCTAAACTAGAACAGAACACAGACTAGGCCGAAAACTGATTTAAAATACTATGTTATTGCCTATCAATTAGCACACAATGAACTAATAAAAAAATTATAATGTTTAAGTTTTTAATATTCTTCATTAATATATTTTAAATAAAGGTTAGTATAATTACTCATCGGTAGATCTATTAACAACTTTTTCAGCATGTAATAATAAAATCTGTTTTATAAGAGTGCTTAATATATTGTATATAAAAGTCAAGTTTATATTATAATTCCATTGTACATACAATAATCCAAACTAATTAAAAAAAGTGATCTACATTATATTAGCTAAGTTGTCACATAGTAGTGAAAATGTAATATTCATTAATTCAAACTTTAAAAAAGGTAGGACCTATAGTTTAAATTTAAAATTAAGTAATGAGATAATTAAATAGAAAATTTATTATAAACTCAACAATTAATATAAATAAATGCTAATGGAGTATTTCATTACATTTATGAAATTAATTAATTAATATAATGCAATTGGTATCTTCAAAAATATAATTAAATGGAAATAATATTATTTTTCAAAAGTTTTTTTTTTCTAATCTTCTAATTAATTTTTAAAATTTGACAGACTTCAACCATTTTAAATAATATTGAAAATAAAGTTATAAAATTTAATTAAATTTATTACTGTTTGAATCTTACCTCTTGCACAGTTTCAGATTTTACATCAGTAGCAACTTGTTCCTTAACTACTGGTTTAGGCTTGTCTTTCTTTGAAAAACTAATGCTTCTAAATGACCAAGATTTCTTCTTCTTTCGCTTCTTTTCTGCAGATGCTTGTACCTCAGTTGTGGCTGATTCATCAGCAGGGCTTTTAATTGATTCATCAGCAGTAACATCTAAATCGCCATTAGCTTCAGAAGCTGGGACCTCAACTTCAGTTTTTTCTTCCGAGTTTGCGGGTTCCTTAATGTCCTTAGCAGGTAGTATTGATTCACCAGTTTCCTATAAATAGTTTTTTATTATAAATTTAAAAACTATTAACAAAAAATTAAAATCAATAAATTAAATAATCTTCATTAAATCTATATTATTCAATAATTTAAATAATTTAACTAAATATAAAAAATACAAATAAATATTTGTCCTACATGTTGATAAAATGTAAGATACATTCACAACCAAACATCAAATATTTATCATGTTAAGGTTATTTAGTGATAATTACAACAATATTAAAATTGAAATATCTGGTTCTAACCAAAATATTATTGTACCCCTTTTATTTTATATAAATGCTACATTGAGTATCAGCAATCATTTATAAAAAGGGTATGGATATTTATTTTTAATGAAAAATTAATAAATAAAATAACTATGTAAATAAAAATGTTTTGGTCCCTAGTGATGATCTTAATTATATAGAATTAAGACATCGGGTTAAAAACCAAAATATTACTTTACCCCTCTTCTCTTATGATTACTATATTAAAAATTAGTAATCACCTCTAAAAGGAGATTAAAAAATAAATTCCTAGCATAAAATTAGAAATTATTTTCTTTTTTTTAACAAACAATAATAAATATTTATACTTTACAAAATACGATTATTGGTTCATTTTGAATTTATGATCATATTAAATACCTATTTAAAAAATTAAAATAAATTTGAGTTAAGTTCTGTAACTGATTGCTCTATATTCATACACATATATACTTTACAATTTTGTTTAACATCAAAATCATTCAGTTATTCTATACATATGGATTGTTTTAACTTGAACTATAAAAAAATAACATAAAATCTTTAATTATAATTAAAATACCAATGTAGATTATAAATTAATTTAATAGTTCAAAAATAAACTACTTCTTACTTACTATAGAACATAACAAGATAAAAACTGCAAATCAAAGGTCTAGGACTCTAGGTCAAGTTAAATAAGCTAAAGAAAAGTATGACTCTAAAATTACCATAGGTTACGAAATAATTATTAATACTGCATATTTATCATATGCATTGTGTTCGGAAAGTAGAGTATACATCTAACAAAACTGAATTGAATAATTGTACCCATCTCTTTAAATATTTTTTATGTTTATAAATTTAAATAAACATAGACTTAAAGTACATAAAAAGTAAAATAATTATATTTTCTATTATAACTTATACTGAAATAATGTGTTATATGAAGGTTTTTAATATTATATAACAAAAAATAAAACCAATATAATGCAATTCAAAATCGAGGAACATTGATTTAAAATTTCTATAGTTATCTAATCATTTTAAGTTACTCGTAATTTAAATCAATCATACTTAAACACATTAAAATTATTAATCATATTAATTACTAATAATTTAATAATTAAATTATTAATCATAATTAATTATTTAAAAATAATAAAATACCTTTTCGTCTACATGAGGTGTTGATCCATTCAACTTAGGGGTTTCTTCTGTTCCCCCAGTAACTTCAACCACTTGTTTTTCGTCAGTTGAAGCAGTTGTTATAGTACCATTTTCTAAAGGTTCACCCGCTGGACCTTTTTCAGCTTTTGTGGCTCCAGCAGATATATCTACCGATCTTTTACTTTGTCTAGCTCCCATATTGTGCTAAATATTCGTAAAAATCGAAATTAAATGTTTTTCTTTTGATAAACAGCTTACGATGAGTCACACCACTTCTATGTCAAAAGATAGACTAGTCTGTAATAAATAGCAACAAAAAAATCAAAATTAGTTATCACATAATTTTCTCCCTTCCATTGTAAATGTAAATTCAATAAAATCTTATCTACTAAATAGGCATTATGCATGCCATAACTATCGACGGAAATTTTTTCCATGAAAACAAATAGTCATAACAAGCAAGTTATCTGTTAATAACGATTTAAAATTAATATATTTATTATATTTAGAACAATACATTGACAAACAATTTAATGCAGTGTATTATGTCAAATCAAATATTTTTTTGAATAAAATAATTGGTATAAAATTGCAATATTTCATCATACGTACATATAATTTAATGTAAAAAAAAAAAAGTGAAATGAGTACGAAAACAAAAAAGCTATTTTAACGATAATAATAAAAACAAAGTAAAGTGAGCACTCATACATAAGCCAAAAAAATAACATTAAAGGTAAAATACTATGTTATCTATATAATAACTTTTAGGAACAATTGTTCAATAAATTACAACAAAATAACTATTCAATTTTTACAACCAAGGCTCGGAACAATATGCGCATATATATGGGTTAAAAAACATCATAATGTGGGGTAAAAATTTGGAAAATATTCATAAATATGCAATTTATTGAATAAAATACAATTTACATAAATTAGGTACATGGGAAAATAAATTGAAATTAAATTTAAAAAAATAAATAATAATAAACATTGCACGCTTGTGAATTATTAAGCTTTTCTTTTTTACAAGTGTATAACTTAAGCGTATTAAGCTTATTATAGCTTGATTATAGATTAAGTTATACAATCTTCATCAAACCTTTAATATTCTAGTCTAGTATACAAATACTGATAATTAACACTTTATATAATGGTACAATAAAAATGTTTTGATAAATTTTGATAAAAATAAATACGGGCCGATCGGAGATAAATACTTCGATTTTTTCAGTAAAATAGAAATTATAACATCATTACCATTATTATAATATTATTACAATATATTAAGTACATTGGAAGCAATACTAAAATAATCATTGATGAATTTATTTATTTTTTCAAACGATATAAAATTTAAAATTTTGGTTATCATAAATCTAATATATTTTGTTGAATTATATATTTGTAAAAAAAAAAAATGTTTCATTAAACATATGATATATCTATATAAAAGTTATAAAAGTTCTTAAACCTAAAATATGCGTATTCTTATAAAAAATGAAGAATATGCAAAATTATGCAACAACATTTTTTACATTTGAAATATGTGTACAATATCAAATTTTTATCGAACCAGAATTTCAATATGCACTTTCCAAATATGTAAATGCCAAAAGTTCCGAGCCTTATTTATAGCTATTTATATTTTTACTGTGTTACATCCCAATGCAAGATTAAATAGAAAATAATATTGAGATTATCTGTTATATTCAAGGTTATAAAAATTTTTAAATTCCTAACTTTATTATCAGGATTTTCTGCATTATTGAATAATTCTGATAAATGTTACATCCCTTTTCATAATGTCATTTATATCCCTAGAATATTTTTTTTTGTAAATATATTTTGTTTTTATTTTTAATAAATACTGATGGCTATAAAAAAATATATTGTTGTTTTCTAAATATATTCTATACATCTAAAATAATATAAAATTAATTATAATGAAAAATTAAAATAAGCATATTATCACAAAAAATTACAATTTTAAAAATTAATGTAAAAATGAAAACATGAAATATAATAAAAATAATTATTTTATAGTTGGAAAGAATAAATAATAAAGTATTTTTTTCTCTATTTGAAATGAAGACATCTATCATGATTAGTTAATAAATTATTAGGAAAAACTATATCATACTTAACTCATAATAAGCTAATGATATATTTAATTAGATAAGGAATATATATATTTATTAGTGTCCAATAAATCAAGTATAATTTTTATATAACCCAATAAACCGTGATATCGACAATGTAAGCATGGCATTTTTGAAACAGATAAATAGATACGTATTTAATGTGTAGCACTACCTATGTTACTTTAAAAGTAAACACAGATTTTAAAAACACATAAACATAAAACCGCGAGTAATATATCTAAAATTAAAATGATTAAAAATGAAGTTTTAGCCCAATTTTAACCCATTTTAAGAGCAATATCATTTTTAAAAATCAACAACATTTATATTTTATATATATATATATATATATATATATATATATATATTATATACATAAATATTTCTTTTAAAAAATGAATTGTACCGTCGTTTAATATATTATACAAATTCATTATTAACGGAAAATAATATCTTCACATAAAGAAATTTAATTTTTAATTTATTAGGTAATGATAAAATATAAATTATAGTTTTATACACGTTACTAACAATTATAATAATTAATAACTAATAAAATCATGTTCATACATTTATTTTAACAATGTGTTAAAATATATTTACTTCGGTTTATGATCATTATATTATAACAGGTGTGTACGATTAGTTTTATTTTATATATATATATATATATATATATATTTATAATTTCTACAGCAGTTGAGAATATTCTTAATTTATATTATAATTTTAATACAAAGTTGTTACAAAGTTAGTCACAAAGTTTTCAAAAATCACTCTGTATAGCAATCATGTTATACACGTGTCACACATATTAATGATTCAAAATACTATTATCATCATACCAGTATCTATAAACCATTTAAAGTTCAAATACCATTTTAATAACATCAAAAGTATTTAATGATATATTACTTATATATATTACTTTTATATTAATTTTTACTAATTTTCATCATATCTAAGTATAAAACAGTTTAATTATGTCTATATCATAATTTACTAAGAACTTAAGTATTTATTTATACATCATTTCATAAATATGTTTATATAAAAGACGAAAAACGGAGATTCATTTACAATCATCGCAATTAATAATTTGATAATATCTACCTGTTGGGTCATTAAAATTTACCGTAGAGCTAAAACACAAATTCCGATTGTATTATACCTTGGACTTTAAACCACTAAAATCAACTATGGGTATTCAATGTTAAAATAATTTATAGCAAAAACAAGTAAATATTAGGTAAATAAATTATAACTGACTGAATATGTAAAAGTATAATTAAGTTTATAGTAAATGTGAGATGAATGCAAAGTATTAAATGTAAGGCGGACGAAATTGAAAATTTGATTAATACACTAATAGTGTCTTAGATTAAAAACATTTTTCTGCCTACATTATAATCATAAGAAAATAATATAAACTTCTTCTCCTTCGCCTTTATTCAAACACTATTTGGTGCCGGTTTAAGTAATATAAACAAAGAACTAAATTAAAAAAAAGTTTAAAAAAATAAAATAAAAGAAAATATTTTTTAAAATTGAAATTATAGTCTTATTTTTCCACTAAAATACTTGAATATTTTCACTTTTTTAAAAATATATTAAGAATTGGAAGAGTGACAATTTGTATTGAGCAAGCTTTATACAGCTTGTCTGTGTAAATCGATAAGAAAACTATTCGAGATTATTTCAGTACAAAACCTAAAACGGTATACCATGCAATAAGACACTTTCTCCCCTATATCGTGCGCCACAGCTAACTTGGAACTCGTGACTCATCATCAACGCCGTTGGTTTTCAACAATTTCACAATATAGCTGGACAAAGGGTCGCTGAATGAGTCATTTATTGTTATATTGATTATTATATATAACTCGGTAGATAGGTACTCGCATATTCTATTAACTACTTCACATTGCATACATATCATCTTATTTATAATGACATTTTTTTTTCTAGTACAGAAAATATTTATTAATACTGTTGTTTTTATTTAAACTGATATGTAAAAAAATATTACATAGAATTTTGATTTATCTTAATACAGTTTTAATTTATTAATCACAATCAATAATAAAACAGATTTTTGTTTTAATAAAAGCTTTGACTTAACCTATATATTATATAGTATATAACATGGATATTTCATTCAATAGAATATGTACCTAATTCATGTATAGATAAAAATAATATATTTATAAACAGGACTCGGAAGTTGTAGTACTAAAAATGTTACTTTTTAGCTCTTAAATATGCACTTAAAAGCTTTAAAATTTGCGCTATACAGCACGAAAAATCAAAAAATATGTATTTAACTTGAAAAAATTATAAATTTATTAGAAAAAAAATGAAAAGTGTACTTATTATTAAATTATTTAATATATTTACCTTGGAAATTATCCCGAATTATTTAAAATGTTCGATAATCTAATGCAATGATATAATAAGGGAATAACAATGACGTCACTAACTATTAATACATCAAATTGTCGATGAAAACATAAAATAATATTTGATGAGGTCTATTTATTTCTAATAATTTAAATATTTTTAAAAATAAAACCAAGTAAATACAATTATTATCAACAAAATGTGATTATTTCCTGTATTATGTGAAAATATAGCCGAAAATAGCACTATAAACCCTAAATTAGCAAAATAGCAATAAATCCGTAAATATGCAAAAAATAACAAAATTAAATTTTGTGTATAATATCCGAGTAGTGGAAAACATATTTGTATCTTACTTTGGATGTTCTAGGATGAACCAAGAAATATATGCATTTGCTAGAGCTTCCGAGTCCTACTAATAAACCACATAGATATAATGGAGGATAAAACGAATAGTAATATTATAAGTTTATTCGGTTCATATGCGATTACAATGGAAACATAGACCTTGCTCGAAATTCAATGTCGACATGGTTAACACTGACCCATGTTGCGAATTATGATAATGATGCGTACGATTAGGATGACTCACAGTAAAAATCGTTTTACATTAAATTAATCAGTTTCAGTGATACAGCAATGAATAACATCAAAATTGAATTTCTACAAATAAGGTATGACCCTACAACAAAACTAATTGTATAAGTTATACGACATATTTTAAAATAAATTAAGAAAATAATTTTTCTT